GGGCCCTGCGTGCTTTGTGGTGGAGGCGTGATTTTCAACGCTGCGTGTGAGGGTATCAGCAGCACCTGGGGGTTGTTTCTTTTCCATTTGAAACTCCACACACCTGCCCTTCTCCAGCCATGATTTTAACACTACCCCATACTTGCCATCCTGTTCCTTCTCACCCCACCTCCACCTGCCCCTGTGAAACCAGCTAGTTTTGGGAGCATTTATTGTGTGCCTGACACTTTGAAATGCCCTCTATACTTCTCATTTAACCTTCACAACATGCCCTGAGGTGTAACCCTGGTGGACAAGTAATTGAACTGCTCTCTACTACTGTTCTTTAAAATACAGACAATAAGAGCAGCATAGGGCAGTTGAATTGCTAGTCCACCAGGGTTACACGGCTAGGAAGCACTGGAGTCAGGATAACTAGGGAGCCTAAATTATTGATGAGAAGTCTCATCTCTTGGGTATTTAAAAGTTTTTTTATCGAGGTGTAATCACAGTAAAATGCACAAATGTTAAGTCTGTATTTTAATGACTTTTTACACACACACACGCCTCTGAGTAGCTACCCAGATCATGATATAGAACATTTCTACCACTCCAGGAAGTTGCCTTGTGCCCCTTCCCAGTCATTGCCCACGTCCCTACCCCCAAACAAAATCACTCTTCTGACTTCTGTCACCGTAGAGGAGTTTTGCAAGTATGTGAGCCTCATATAAATGGAATCATACAGTTTGTAGTCTTTTGTCTCTGGCCTCCTTTCCTCATCTGTCTGTGACCTTCATTCATGTTGCACGTTGCTGTAGTTGATTCTTTTTTATTATTGGTGTTCCATTGTTTAAATATACAGTAATTTATTCTCTTATCGATGCCTATTTATTGTTTTTGCAACTTTTGGCTATTATGAATAAGACTTCAAGCATTCTTGAATGTGCCTTTTGGTAGACATATGTACTCATTTCTCTTGATTATATATGTAGAGGTAGAGTTGCTAGGTCACAGGGCAGGTGTACGTTTAGTTTTAGCAGATATTGCCAAAGTGGTTTTGTCAATTTATTCTCCCACCAGCAATGTATGAGAGCTCCCGTTGCTCTGTATTCTTGCCAGCACTTGGTATCGGTGGTCCTTTGAATGCCCTCCATTGGGGGCAGGGGTCTTACCTGATTGTGGTTTTAATTACAGTTCCCTGACGAGTAATCAGTTTGGGCCCTGTTTCTTATGCGTGTTGGCCATTTGGATGTCTACTTTTATGAAGTGCCTATTCAAATGTTTTATTGAATTGGGTTCTTTCCCCCCCCTGTTTATTTGTAGGTATTTGCTGGAGATATATATTACAAATATCTCCTCTCACTCTGGTTTGCTTTTTCACTCTCTCGATAGTATCTTCTGATGAATGCAAGTTCTTCGTTTTGGTGAAGTCCAATTTATCAATACTTTGTGTTTAGTGCTTTTTGTGTTCTTTAAAAAAACTCGTTGCCTTTCTGTCTCTTGAGTATTTTAAGGCAGAAAAAATGTGGAGAACCACTGTGGTAAAAAATAAGCCCAGTTTCACAGGACACTGTTGGATTCATGCTTCTGGATTGGCTGTTTGCCTGGAGTGGTATCCTGAGTCCTCATAGTTATGAAGCACTTTAGGTTTTGCCAGAACCCTTTACTGTTCAGTCTCATTTGATCCCTTGCAGGAGTTCACTGAGGTTCTCGTGGGAGTGCGTGGCCAGTTTCGACACCAGAGGCCAACACGAGCTCCCTGGGGTCTGTAGTGCCTTCCTATGTGCTGTGGCATCATGTACTGTTTGTATTTACATCCTGCTCTGTAACTTGCTAGCTCTGTAATTGTGGACAAGGGTACTTAACCCCTCTGAGCCTTAGTTTTCTCATCTGCTAAATGGGAGTAATGAGAATATACTTAAACTCATGACATAGCTGTGAAGATTGAATGAATTAACTTGTATGTAGTGCTTGGTATAGCAGCTGGAGCACAGTGCCGGGTTATCATTATTGCCGTTCTCTCATTATAGTGTCTAATAGGCTCATGATTCTTTGTGGAACAAGAAACTGATCATTGCACTAGCTCTGATCATTTGCTCCATTTCTCTTTCATAGTTTTATATTTTCCCTTCCTCATTCCACATCTCCCCCCTGCTTGCTCTCCCCTTCCTCTTTCTCTCTTGCTATGAAAAACCACGTGTATTTCAAACATGAACTAAATTGACACCCTGTAAGAGAAGATCTCAGAGTATGCTGTCTTACAGAGACTGACATGGGTCATTGAGGGTTTTGCTTGTTTTATTTTGTTTTGAGGGATGATGGTTAGTGGGGGCATAGGGAGGGTAAATATGGAAAGAAAGCTATTGCTTGATTAAAAAATAAAGGGAGTTGACCCTTTTACCTTGGTTCTAGGAAATTCACATGCAAAAGATTTGTATAATGGCGGTTTTACTTGTAATGAAGGAAAAGGAGCTTGGAGCCAAATGAGTGTTTTCTAGATGCCTAGAAAGGATAGTGCTGTGGTCCAGATGTGCTTACGGAAAGCTGAGAGAAAATCACCCGAACTTAGGGTGTTAAATCCACTTTATGCACCATCTGCCCCCCCCCACTCTCCTTACCCCCAAAAAGAGATCAAGACCACATGTGGAAAAGAACTTGTATTTCGATATGTCTTCTTGAAATAAAAACAAATCCTGTTGATTTTCCTGGTTACCAAGGCTACTTGGCCCTCTGTTCACAGCCTTTGGGTTTGTCTGAACTTCCTCTCTCTGGCTCTGGGTGGAAATGTCACACTGTGTGCCATGAAGCTGATGTGGCATCTGCGAGGCCCCGAGCCCTCGGTGGGTAGGCGGCACTTGTGCGCTCACTGTTTGCCGGTGAGCACCCGGCGGGAGAGGAATTGGAGGCATGTGGGCTCCTTGGCCCCGCTGTATGGAGGGGGAGGGTGTCTTTGTTCTCTCACGCAGGGGGAACAGGAAAGAAAAGCATGGCTGGAGGGGACTGTGCATCAAGATCACGTGGGGAGTTGGTTAAAATCCGGGTTCCCAGGCCCCACCCAGAAGTTCAGATTCAGTAGGGTAAGATTGGGCTAGCAAACTCCATTTTGAGGGAGTGCCCAGTTCTGAAGCAGGTGATGCAGGTGTAACACCTTGAGCAACACTCAAAGACCCAGGGCCGGGGACTTGAGAGTCCTACAGTGGACTGCAGCTTCATAGACTGTTTATTAAAGAGCCTAAAACTTTGCGCTTGGGTTTTTGAAAGGTGGAAGGCTAGAATCCATCCATCGTGCCCCCAAACCGCAGGGGCACTTCTGCGCGGGCTGCAGACACCAGTGGGGCTGCGGCACTGAATGGGCGGATGGTGTGGAGTGGGCACTTGGGTCTGAGCATGAGAGTTTCTGAGAAGAGGAGGGAGAGTCCAGGCAGCTGCTCCTGGAGAGAGGAGTTATTCCATCTCCTGAGTCATCTTTGTGTTATGGTGCCAGTGCCCAGTGTGGCCTTCACAGCAATGACCGTCCTCTCAGGGATCTGTGTCCCACCGTCCTCAACACACCCACCCATCTAGCCGCTCACCCTCCTCCGACCCACATACACCCCCTCGTCGGCTCCTCTCTCCCTGCCCCTCTGCCTCTGGCTTGCTCTCGCTCCCTTCTCGTTCACGATACACACGCACACGCTCCCACCCCCACCCCGATGCCCTTCATATTTCCGACCCCTCTGTACCTACGTGATCACATCTTTGAAAATTTTTTCTTGGAGGATATTGAGGGATGATCAATGAAAGCAAGCAAGTGTGATTTTTGAAATATGTTGGATATAAGGAGGTCTAGCATATCCACTGTAACTATGGAAATAAGCCGGGAGCAGAGATTATAGGTGGGTCAGAATTAGCAGGCTTGGGTGCTTGTGGGGCTTGGGCTCGTGCTGCTCAGGGTGTTCCCAGCCTGCACGTTTACTGCTGTGTTGCTGCGTGAGCGTTAGCGGTACTGGTGGGTTCGGATGGTGATAGAACTTCAGTTCTTGCTCTCTGGGCTTCTTCCTCTTCTTTAGGCTTTCTCCAGCTTTAAAGATGAGGGTTTTAATCAGTAATTCTTTCTTTTTCCTTTGTTTCTTTTTTTTTTTTTTTTACCCAGAAGTTGCTGGCAAGTAATTCTTGACTTTTTGAGGGTTGCGGTCCTCTTTGAGAATCTGATGGACGGTTTGAATTGTGTTTCAGAAAAGTACATATACATTTGGGGTTGGTTTGGGAACACTTTGGGATCCATCTGTGGACTTTAAGTGAAGAACTCCTGCTTTAATGAGCATAGAGGTCATTTTTATGTCACAATCTCTTTTTCTCCTGGAGCGCCATATGTAATGGGAACTCAACAGACACCATTTGATATTGCGTGCATGTCTTCTAGAGGATTTGTGCTCAGTTTAAAGAACAAGCAGATGTCAGTAAGTGAAAAGATCTAATGCATGTAAATCACTTGCCATCTGACATGGTTAACTATTCATTTTTTAAAAATACTATGCACATTTAACATAATCACAACTACAAAGCTGATTACCTCCTAAAACTTCTCCATGTCAAAAGCAGTTTAGAAGCATTGGACTAGATATTGGGGGATGAGGGTTGGATTTTTCCCCTCTTTTAACCTTGAGTCCAATAATTCCATTCACTTCAACAAGTGCATTCACTTTATTGCATTCCTACTGTGAGTGAAACGCTGGTAAGCATTTTGAGGAATTGAAATGAATAAGATTTCAAGGAATGAACAATGTCTAGAGGAATCACTTTATTTTTCTGTGTCCCTTACCTGTAAAATATCTTCTGTATTCCTTCCCGGCCCTCTGAGGGAGATGGGCTTACTCAGGGGGACTTGGGTAGGTGGCTTAGAATAGTGAGTGTCGTGCCTCTCTTTGTGGTGTTAGTGCTGGCAGCCATTCCTTCTGTTGAGTGAGTGTTTAAGGTTCACCTTTGTCCGTCTCTCCACATGTGCCTCGGGGTTCATATCCGTGTCCCTCCTTTCTCCACAGGCCAGGGGTTATCACCATGCAGGCATTGTCAGAAGAGGACCGGAGGCTCTGGATGGAAGCCATGGATGGCCGGGAACCTGTAAGTAACAATTCAGGGAAGTCGAGCAAGAATAAAGGTCCTGAGTTGTTTGCTTCCATAGTGCAGTGATTTTTACTGTTGTTCAGAAGCCTTGGGTCCTTGAAAGCAATGTACCAGAGGTAGTTTTTTATTCCTAGGTTGATGTTGTGGATATTGGTATTCCGTGTGTAAGTATTATAGTTCCTGAGCTTTGGCCTGGCAGTCCTACGGCATGGGTTCTGCAAGTGTCTCGGTCTCTTAAAGGAGACAGAGTGTAGTCTGTCTTACTGAATGTTTATTGACCATGTGATATCTCCAAAAAGTAGGGTGCAAAGCTTTATCTGAAATCCATTTTAATGGGATAAATGCTCATTATAGTGTGTACAGGTTATGCATCATCTTTTATCATTGCCTTCTGTTTCAGCCTCCTATCACTGTAGGAACTCACATCCCATTATAAGCAGTGGGACGTTATCAGGGTAGATGGAAGGAGTTAAGCCTGGTGATGTGATCCCTGCTGCCATTTCAGAGATGCTGGCCTCAGCTGGATGATGTAATCTTGTGGTTGTTCTGCATCTTGTGACATGTAAAACCCATGTGAGAGCCCTGGGGAGGTCCCTGGAGCCAGAGTAGTCCTCTTACCTTGGTGCCAAGGATCTCAACTCCAGTGTTCAGGAAATCTCAAGGTTAGGGAAATCCTAAGAGCACAGTCTAATATCCATGTCTCACCAATGAAAGATAAAAAGAATCTACAATGCCAGAGGGCCAATAGTTGACCCTTGCAAAGGCACTATCCAAAGAGGGGAAATGTGTGCAAGGAGAAAGCAGGTCATGGAAAGCAGGCCCATTGACTATCAACTGTGTGTGTCAAGTTGGGTGTGCAGTATAGACGATTCCAGCTCACTTGTGTGTCTCTCTCAGCAGACCCTGGTAAGGCGATCTGGCAATGTAGGTTAATGTATCTTTCTACTTCCACTATATTTTATACAAACATGGGACTCAATTCAGTTGACTACGCATAAACAAATTACTAGTGTTTGCATAAGATTTACTAATATAGAGCAAGATTTAATGAACTATTTAAAGATTTAGGCACAGTTTGCTAAACTATAATTAAGCTTTGTTTAATGTCAGTTCTTCTCCTGGGCTAAAATGTAAGATAGCTCTCTGAATGCATTGTTATCCAGAGAAACCCCCTCAAAATCAGATACACATTTCTACCTTTTGGGCTTTGTGGGCACAATAGCTGCTTGATGTCAGAGGCCTTTGAAAGCAGCTTCCCAAATAGTTCTTCTTTGCTAGCATCATCTAAGGCCATTCGTTGAGCACATTTTTGCATGCTAGGTGCAGGATGGGGCATGTTATGTCTCTTAAGCCATTTATTTCTCTTAGTACTTAATGAAATATGTGTTATGATTCCATTTTATAAATGAGGAAACTGAGGCTTAGAGAGTTTACTATCTGTGCAACTAGGGGCACATCATTTTTTAATTAAGTGACTGTGTTAGTAGGGTACAGGCTAGGTTGCTAGAACAGAGAGATTCCCAAGTACAGTGGCTTACATAAGATAGGCAAGTGTATTTCTCTCTCAGAGCCCAGAAGGGAGTGGTCTGTGCCTGGCAGATGTTACTCTGCCATCCTCAACCCGTGGCTTCAGTCATTGCCATTTTCCAGCCAGAAGATGGAGATGAACGAGTCCAGGGAAAGCATTTTGAAGGACCCAGCAGGTGCACTTGTCACTTCCATTGGCCCAAACTTAATGATCTGGCCACATCTATCTGCAAAGGAGGGCGGGAAATCTAGGCTGTACATAGGCAGCCAGGACCCAGGACATATTATTCCTTTAAGGAAGAAGAGGAGAAAGGATACTGTGGCTTGTTAGCAAAGCTAGAATTTGAAGCCATGTCTAGCCCTAGAAGTATTTGGTTTTCATCTTTAGTAGAAATAAAATGTCAAATTGCCTTCTAAGAATTCGCACTCAGTTCATTTTCATTTTTATAATACTTTCACTGACTCTTAATGATTCTTCAACTTGTAGGGGAGGAAATACCGGGGAAAAAAAAAAATCCTGTCGTGGCATGCTATTCTTGGTATGGATTAAAAAAAAAAAAATCCAAAAAACCGCTACCATTTTCCCCCAATAAGCTGGACTTCTAAAACTGCTTCACCAACTGCATTTTAACCTGCCTCCTCCTCTCTCTCCGCACCACTTGATATTTGTCCTTGGTGTATAATTGGTTTTCTTACTAACCACTTCAGTTTTCCTGTAGATTAACATCTGGCTTCTGCAGATGGAAAGCGTCCCGTTTGAAGGAACATCTCTTTGCTC